AAGTAAGAATGCAGAAAAACAACAATCGAAAATGTGAAAGCCAGCAGGAGTGTGAAATGGATCCTAAAAAAGCAATTCGAGTCCAACTAAATAGCAGAGACAAAAAAATATTAATAAACAAAAAAAAATCTTATCAATTAATACAATATAAGTAGCTCAGAGGTAAAGCAGAAAAAAGTTTTCAAAAAAGCTAAAGAAAACTGGAGGATGAAGGGATGAATGTAAAAGTCACACATAACAAAATAATAACAGAAAGGAGAAATTTTATTAGAAAAAAAAATACAATTTAACAAATTTTGAAATGTTTGCATTAAAAATCAAGAAAGAAAAGGAAAGGAAGAGTAAAAGCAGAGATAGCAACAATGTATGAAAGAGATCTAAGAACTAGTAATATAAAAACAAAAAGAATAACAGAAGAAGTCACTTAGATAAATCTACAGACTAATTTACAAGAAATAATAATTGTAAATGTTTACATTAGGAAAAACAGAAAACATAACTCTGAAATATCAAAAATAAAAAAAAAGTAGGGAGTGATTTTAATGGCAGAAGAACTACTTCAAAATATGAAGCCGATAGAAAGCTCAGCATCAACCAATGTCATGATAAAAATTAGTTGAAATCAGCGAGGAACTGGATGGAACTTAAAAATAAAACCTAAAGCAGTCTACCAAAAAAAATAATATTTATAAATAAACCAGTACAAAAAAATGGTGGAACAAAGAATGATGAAGCAAAACTAAAAATGAAGAAAACAAAAGAAACCTACAAGAAATATGGAGTACAAAAATTGTTATATTTTAATACTAACTATATGAATTAAAAAATACAATAATTTAATTAAAATAAAGGAAGCTGTGAACAAGCAAAACGAATAGGTAGAAGCAAAGATTGGAAAAAATATTACACATAAAACAAATAAGAAAAAGAAGTAACAAAATCGAAAAGGAGGAATGAGCAACACTTTAAAAATATAATAATAAAGGGATCCACCGAAAGAAAACAAAACACAATAGGAACAACAACTGCAAAGACACAAGAGATAAGCCTAAACGAAATTAAAGCAATAAACGCATGAAAAAAAGTATGAATACACGGAAAAAAGCATAAAGGAACTACACAAAATACTCTGTCAAATATGAAGTGGACAAGAAAAATTACCAGAAGAATGGTTCAGAAGTATAGTAAAACCTACCTATAAAAGACATACATTCAGCAAAAAAATACAGAGGATTCACACTAATAGACACCGGGTACGAAATTTATGCAGAAATACTTAGGAAAGGGTAGAAAACGAATTAGAAGAAAAAGAAAAAATGGGAAAAAAGGGATTATAGCTATAATTAACTATAGCTAATACATATCTATAAGAATTGCAATAATGCAGATATGCTTCAAAGTAATTTAGTTTGATTTTAACATTTAATTAGATAGAAATTAAACAGTATTATGAAATAATTGTAAAATAGTTATTTTAAGTCTGTCTTTTTCGTTAATTACAGTTTTTGTAAAATATATTCTGTTTACTTTTTATTTGACAAGACAACTCATTATTGTGTAAATACTCTACATTTTTACGCATTTTACTTTCAACAGATTTTATTTTTATCTATTGGATCAGACGTTGGCAAGAGAATTATTCGGGATGAAGGAGAATCAAAAATATCTGGAAAATATGTCATTGAAGATGTAGAAATTAATAATCAAATGTTTCGTAGACTTGTTTTCCTTAAAAATCAAAATATCATACAGTCAGAAGCAAAATTAACTGGTAAGAAATTTGTAGAATAAGAAAGCTGATTTACATATAAACATACAGACTCTCTTTCTCTTTTTTTGTAAAAGTTGGGCTGGTTGTATTAGTAAGACATCAATGAGAAAGCCAGAGTGCGGATTTTATATTATAGAATGTCTGTTTAATTTGAATTATTGTTAATATTCTTAGAAACAATCAGCCGGAGCTATATAATCAATGGCTCAAGTTTTTATGTTTGTCGTGGTTTTACATTCACAGCAACAATATTAAGTTATTGCCGACCGTTTCTGGCCTTGGCTAAAAGTACATGTACATTGTACATACTCATAGACAAAATGGGGGATTATTTTTTTCCCTGGGCAAATCTCAAGTGAGGGGGGGAGGGGGCAGGGTTCCACCACATCTTACCAAAATTTCACAAAGGAAAACGGAAGGTACCAAATTAAAAGAAAAACATCGCACATAATTAATGGAAGTAAAATAAGATTTATATGTTAACTAACTGACCGAGCCACGCGTTGCTGCAGCTCATTAGTTCTAATACGTTGAATGAATATTATGTTAAACATTTAAATACAGTCTAATTAATATTCACCAATAAAGAAAACCATTTTAGCTGATCTAAAAATCCACGGGAATAGGAATGGAACCTTAAGCCAAAATTTCAATAATCTATTTAAGTGGTAATTGGTGCATAATATTTTTAGTTAGCCCGTCTTTCGCTAACACAAATAGATTTCATGGTTTCTCACACGTGAGCAGGCGACATGTAATTAGTAGCCCATACTTGATGCTTACTCAACCTTTATAGCAAAATATTTTGAAATGAATGAAACACTGTCTGGCACAAAAATTAAAAAGTTGGACGGTATAAAGCATAAATTTTGCTTAACTTTAATTTTCTCTATTTCGAAGATAATAATTGCTTGCATTAAGGAGGTTCGAGTTAGGAAAGTTTAACTGTATTTTAATAAATTTCTTTTAATAAATATTTGACTTGATAGGCAAGGATTTTTTAACGAAATGAACTTGTACTTATATAAACATGTTGAAGTGTACAACACAGGACAAATGCCTGAAGCCCATATGCCTTGTTTTGATCGATTTAACATGATTTGGTGTGAGATATGATTATGATTATAAATTGATTAAATATTTCACATTAAGAAACCTCCCATTATTAGTATGTATCACCTCTGTGTGTTTGTTTGCCTAATTGTTACCTATTTTATAGAAGCTGCTAATTAATTAATTACATGATTTTTTTTTTTCTTTCTGTAAGTATGTAATTTTATTATTTTTGTTTTCCAGATAAAAAAATAAAAGGAAACTGTAAAGAAGTAGATCATTATTATTTAGCATCAAAGTATCACATTTTTTTAACAATAGGATGCGATTTAGTATGTAACGCAATAACCGTTCCTTCTGTCGCTGTTATTGGCCTTGGAGGAGGTACTTTATGCGTGTTCCTAAGAAAATATTTATCGAATTCTGTTGTAACTGGAGTTGATCTGGATGCAGAAGTTTTAAATTTAGCACAAAAATGGTTCGGTCTTGAGCTGCATTCTAACTTGAAAGTGGTGGTGGAGGATGGAATAAAATTTATACATGATAGTGTAAATAGTGGTAAGAATTTAAAATGAAAAACGAGGTAAATGAAATATGTAGGCAAATGACCAATTTTGTAGGAGCTAAATATAATTGCTTAATTTTGGATGTAGACAGCAAAGATACAAGTATGGGTATCAGTTGTCCCCCACCCCAATTTTTAGAAGACCATATAGTTGAAAAAACAGCAAAATGTTTGAAAAATGGAGGTTTGTTATAGATAATAAATTAGCGCTGTTGAATAATTATGCTTTTGTTGCAGGTGTTTTCTTATTAAATTTACTAATACGAGATAAAAACCTTCGTCCAGATGTGTTTACTACTTTGAAGAAATATTTTAAAGTTGTTATTTCATACAACTTGGAAGAAGATCTAAACGAAGTCATATTTTGTTTCAACGAAAATAAAAATGTTAAAAAACTTAAAGCATCATTAAAAGTATGCTGTGGAAGAATAAATTCCTTTTTAAGTAAAAATAAGCAAGAAAGTGAAGTTCTTGATATTGATGAGTTTTTACAAAAAATACAGATTGATAGCTAGTATAAATGTTCTTTCATCTATTATTTTCAAAGCTAAACTGATTTTACATTAAACCCCAATTAATAACTA